TCCATATACCCAATCACCTGCCAATCAACTGACTCACCCACTCACCCACCCATGCATCTATCTATCTACTCATTTACCCCCCCACCCAGTCACTCATCCACCCCAAATACCCATGCATTTATCCACCCCTTATCTACCCACTCCCCTATCCATCCACCCACCCACCCACCCACCTGCCCAGCTGCCCTTGAATCCATTCACTCACTTGGCCATCACCTAACATTTTTGAGTGTTTACTGCCTGTAATGTTCTGTGCTAAGCCTTGAAATGGTCTGTTGGGCTCCCTCCCTGGGAGGAAATGTGGCTGCCGCCAGAGGGTCCCGCGGAGGGACATAGGTAAACCTGCATGTAGTCCATTGAGCCCTTTTGCGGCCTGGACTTTGCCAAAGCCATTAATTCCCAGGGTTAGCGGCCAAACAGTGATGAAATGCAGGCGAGGATGGACCAGGGCACGGGCTTCCAGCAGAGCAATTAGAGGTAAACGAATACGTCTTCCCCGCAGAGGAGGCTGGGAACTCCAAGACAGGATGGAAAAGGAGTGACTCAGCAAAAGGAAGGAATTGAAGCCATGTAGATCGAGAGCTAAGTAACTGATTCTCCTAAGACAAGATTTCATTAAAATCCAGCGGTTCAGTCTTCGGGGACTGATGTCTCTCCTGCCTCCCCTCTGTCGCCCTTGTCCCCCACTGCCTGATCTCACCTGTTTCCTCGCTGATCTCCCTCCCTCAGTTGTATCCTGGCTCGAACCCGACCTCCCCCAGCTACCAGCAGGACCTGTGAAGGCGCAAGGCTGAGCCCCACTGTGCTCCCCAGCCAGAGAGACCACACAGGGAGGCCACTGGGAGAGTGAGAAGAAGCCCTGAGACTACGCAGAGAGACAGAGTGACCCGGCCACTCCAGCGTTCCAGCTGAGCACAGCCTGTTCGTCCGCCCCAGCAGACACCGTCTTTGATGTTGCAGGCTTCCCTCCGACCCTGGCGTCTGACTGCAGCTACCTGAGAGCTGCCCCAAGTGAGACCAGCAGAAGAACTGTCCAGCCAAGTCCCCGTCAACCCACAAAACCATGAGAAACTATAAAAATAATGTCATTTGCGGGGGAGGGGGGGATGCGTTTGTTACACAGCTACAGATAACTGATACAGAGTCTTTGCTCAGGCCGCTTCCACTGCTTAGAATGCTTCCCTGACCCCAACCATCCTTTTTCCCACACAGTGAACTCCTATTCACCCTTTAATTTTTTAAAAATTATTTTTAGAGAGAGAAGAAAGAGATGGGGAGAAACATCAACTGGATGCCTCTTGCGTGCCCCCTACCAGAGGTCTGGACCACAATCTAGGCACGTGCCCTGACTGGGAGTTGAACTGGCAACCTTTCGGTTCACGGGTCGGCACTCAATCCACTGGGCTACACCAGGCAGCACTCCAATCACCTTTCAAAACCCAGATCCAGTGTCACTTTTCCTGCCTCTTCATGGTCTGTCTGGGTCAGATGCTATTTCCTCGGGGAAACTGTATTATGAGGCCACCTGAGGATATTCATTTTCCCATCTCCTCCATTGGCTTTGAATGACAATATTAATGCACTTAAAGCTCACAAAAAGCTTATGAGGGAGATGTTATTATTATCCATTATCCCTATTTTATGGGTGCAGCGGCTGGGACGCAGAGAGATGCCCCAGATCACCCTGGTATTTTGTGGCTCAGCAGACATTCAAACCAGGCAGAGCCTGTGCTCAGAACCACCAGGGTACATGGCCTCTCATTAGAGTCTAAACAGTAATGACAGTTATTACCCCTGTTACCCCATGTAACACAAAACCCACACACACGTGACTCCAGGTCTGTCACAGGAGCAGCTCCCAGGCCCCAGGATTCTTGGTTATTTCTCTGGGATTGTCTTACCCTCATGATCACAGGATGGCTGCCATGGCCCCCTTCTCACATGACGACTCCAAGATGAGGAGGAAGATGGAGCTTCTCTCACACTTTCGAAGCTCCCCCCAGACTTCCCCAACCACCTCATTGGCCTGCACTGGGTCACATGACCACCACCAGCCCAATCACTGGCGAGAGAGGCTTGAGACGTATTGCTGGACTGATTAGGAGGTTGGGCCTATTTGGGCTGAGCACATGGCTGCCTATATTGGAAGGGTTATTTTAGCAAAGAGGTTGGGGGTTTGGTTCTTGGCCCGGAGATGAGCATTTTTCCCCACAGTGGGCAGCCCTCGGAACACCTGAAATAAAGGCACACAGACATCCTGATCATTGCAAGGGTCCACTGCCCCAGGTGTGCAAAGTGGGTGCACCGGCCTTGTCCCTCCCAGGCCACCCCGAGGCCCCAGGGGCGGTTCCCAAGGTGACAGGACAGCACCCTGCCCGCTCTCCCCAGTCATCACCCTCCTTCCCTGCAGACACACCCTCTGGATCACATCTCAAATGGCCTCGGTTCCCAAACACCAGTGCATTAAAGGTGTTCGAAGGTTCGTCGGTCCACCACGGAATGAGAAAAATAGGGACGATGGAACGAGGATCTTAAAAAGCTAAATTGATTGCATTGAAAGGAAAGCTGCTGTTGACTTTCCTGCTTAAACCCTCTAATGGCTTCCCGGAGCACTTAGAATGGGAGCAGGCCGCCTGCCCCGGCTGCCAAGGCGCGCCCCACGCACATCTCTTGCCACTCCTCGCGGGCCCCAGCCTCCCGGCCGCCCTGTTTCTCAGGCTCACCAAGCCCTTTGCCACTGTAGGGCCTCTGCACGTGCTGTTTCTTTTCCCTGGAACGTTCTTGACCTGGTTCTTCTCCAGGCTGGCTACTTTTTATTCAAGCCTCAGCTCACCTGTCGTTTCCTTGGAGAGAGGTCCTCCCTAACCATCTCCAAGGCCATGGCTACCTCCACCTCCATGTCTCCTCCGCATCCCACTGTGCTGTTTGCTTGTCTTCAGGGTCCCCTCGGTGCCCGACACCGAGTTCACCTTGACTCGCTTCTGTGTCGCGTCGTCTGTTCTGTGTGCGGGTAACATCTGTGAGCGCGGGGACCTCCCTGGACGGTTGCAGTCTCCTCCTGCCCGTCTCCCCGCTTCCTGCCCGCCCCTCCACCGCCCATTCTTCACACACACACAGTGGGAGGGATCCTGCTCAAATTCAAGTCAGATCACGTCCCTCCTCCACCCAGAACCCTCCATGGCTCCTAGCCGCACTGGCCTCCTCCCTGTTCCTGGAAAACGCCTGAGAGCTTCCTAACGCAGGGCCTTTGCACCTGCTGTTCCTTCTTTCTGGAACGTTCTTGCCTCGGATGCCCACATGGTTTGCTCCTTCTAGTCTCTGTTCAAGGTCACTTCAGAGAGGTCGTCCCTGCCGCCCTACTCAGAATTGCAATTCCCCACCCCCTTTCCCGCCTTTATTCTTCTCTATGGGACTTACTATCATGACATATTTTATACTTCATTTTATTTACCTAGCTGATGAGGATGATTTTTTTAAAAAATAAGATATATACTGATTTCTTTTTTTTAAGATTTTATTTATTTATTTTTAGAGAGGGAAGGGAGGGAGAAAGAGAGAGAGAGAAACATCAATGTGCGGTTGCTGGGGGCCGTGGCCTGCAACCCAGGCATGTGCCCTGATTGGGAATCGAACCTGCGACACTTTGGTTTGCAGCCCGAGCTCAATCCACTGAACTATGCCAGCCAGGGCTAAGACAGCCTTTTTGCTTTGGGATTGTGAGCCTCCACCCTGGCGGCCCCTCCATGGGTCCCCTGTCCCTCTCTGCCACCAGGAGGACCAGCGATGGGAACGGTGTCAGGGGGCAAGGGGTCCTGCACTTGAATCCTGCATGTACTACTTCCTAGGCACCTGACCTCTGGCAAGCCGCTTCTCCTCTCCGCCCCTCAGCAACTTCCGCTGCCGTACCAATGGAGAAAACGATGCTCGCCTGGGAGGCGCGGCCTTGTCCCCAGGGCCCTGCCCCAGAGCTGGGCATGGGGAAGGGGCTCCAGGCTACCGTCCCAGCAGCTAACGCTGCCACTCCCCACGCTGCTGGCTCTCCCAATCCGAGTCACGCTCGGAGGCAGTTCCACAAACAAGGATGACTTCGTGTATTTCGGCACGTTTCTGCTCGACAATATTACAGGAAAATAGAGCTCGTTTAAACAGCAAGGCGTCACAATCCCTGCTACTCCCAAAACACTCTTTATTAAAAAACACACACACACACATCGAAATCAATGACTTCTGGCAAGACACTTCAACTCTCATCCGGAGAATGGGCAGGTGGGGTGTCGCCCGCTGGGCGTGCTGGGGGCCCACTGGTGGTCGAAGGCCCCGGGTGGCTCTCGGAGCAGGCGGAATGCGCAGGTGACCCACGTGGTGAGCTGCCCGGTCCTTCTCCTGTCCTTTTCACCCAGTGACTGTCAAGGAGAAAGTCTCAGGGTGGTGCTGGCCTGGCTTGAACGCCACACTCGAATACTTGCTTGTCTCATTTTGTGACCGAGAAGTGACAGGTCTCAGGCTCTGAGCCTTGGTGACACCAGCACGGGGACCCCAGTCACTGTATTTTTGACAATGAGCAGTCCATGCAGTCTGTGAATGGTAGTGATCAAAATAAAGGTTCCCTTTTCAAACAACTATAAGTTTAAAAAAAACACACAAGTCTGTTTAAAGGAAAATATCTGGTCAACAACAGCATAAAACGTAGCAAAGACAGTATGAATGATGATGTTAAGGAGACACTTCATTGGGTCCACCTAAGAATGTCTTTAACACAGGTCCTGCAGTCTTGGGATCCGAAAGTGAAGTATGGAGAAATGCAATGGCGTCCGGGTACCTTCCTAACCAACCTGTAGCAAGGAGCTAACCCACTCAGCTCTCCGTCTTTTTTTATCTTTTAAAAAAAGAAGATAAGGAAAGCAAAGAAAAAGAAAGAGGAAAACAAAGGAAGGCTTAAGTCGCTGTCTGCTAAACCGCACTTTAAGATCTCTGCTACCAGCTGGAGCTGCCTCGGGGGGGAGAATTGTCTCTTCCTAATGACTGTGGCTGCAAGGAGGTGAGCCACCTGTACAGGAAATGGGCCCTTTTGTGAACACAGGTGAGAATCTAGTCTCAGTGACAAAGGATCCCTGATTTGGAAGAGGAGAGTCATAAGGGCTTTCCCCCGCCACCCCAGGGTAGCAGCCCCGCGAAGAAACCTTCCTGCTGCTATTTCTGCTGGCCGGCCTTCTTCCTTCGCTGCCAAGCCAGGATGAGGCAGCTGAGGGTTGCCATGGAAACCGGCTCCATCCTCCCACTGAAAGCCGCCAGCCCTGATTTCCTGCGGAGTTAAGAAGCAGGCGGCAGCAGGGGTCACCCATGCGTGAAGATGGGTTTCCCTGGGGATATCCCGCCTCCTGCCAATCACAGTATCTGTCTGGGAATCCTGGGGGCGCCTGGAAGCTGAGAGCTAGGGAAGCCCCCAAGCCCCAGTGCTGCTCCAGGAAGAGACTAATGCCTGAAACATTCAGAGATCTCAGGCTCTCTCTCCTCCTTCAGCTAAAGCTAAAGGGACCCAGCTGTATGCACGTACGTGTGTCTGCATCTCATGAGATGCATCCACCCATGGGTGCCTCTGGCTCTGATGCCAAACAGAACTGTCCCTCCACCACCCGCCCCCTTGAGCCCGGGGATGCATTTGCTACTGGGACAATAAGTCTGCTGAGTTCCACCAGCTGATGAGCTGGGTGACCCCGGCAGCCACTGCACCTCTCTGAGCCTGTTTCCTCGTCGACAAAAAGGGCACAACCACCCCCTCTTTGCAGAGATGCTGTGAGAAGCAGAAACGCTATGTCCGCTGCGCCTGCCATGGGCATTTGGAGAGTCCTCAGTAAACAGAGCCTAATATTAATAACACTATCATCATCAAGGTTTCTAGGCTGGGCAACTTTTCTCTTTGAACTGCTTTTCCCCCTAAATCAATATAAAGGCAAGTTTTCATCATTGATCTGCTTGTTCAAAGGGTGGTGCATGCAGGAAGATGGACCCGTGGGCCCAGGACCAGCAGAAAGGTTCCCACCATCTCCTAAAAGGTCACTTGGAAGAGTTAAAACAGGGTTCTCAAACCCAAATGCATTCATGGGCCAGGAGGTACAGGGAATGGAGAGAGGAGCAGAAAGAAAAAAATTCCTCCAAGTAGAAACGCTGGTGAGCCAGCGCACACAAGTCCCGGATCTGGGAGGCGGCCAATGGGTGCCTTTGGGGATACAGGCCCAGGGTGCCCAGGTCGTCCACGTTTTCAAGAGACACTGACACTCTGGATCAACTCTCCCAAAGAGGGTAGGAAAACAACCGACGGACAATAGTTTCTGAGCGTAGGCCGAACCAAACAGGCCTGCAGACGGTGCTCACAGCTGGCGCTTCTGAGCCAGAATGCAGGAACCCAAAGGCTCCTCTGCCTTTGGCTTGCCCAGTCCAACGGGCCTGGTTGCCTCCTTCCGTCCGCACCATCCCCTGGGGCCTGTGTCTTTGTCCTATTCCCGACTGGAGTCTCAGCACTGGCAAAGCCTGTCCCACCTGGAGCCCACGGCCCCAGAACAGCGAGCTGTACTGCTGCGAGCCCAGTGTCTGCAGGAAGCTCACGACCTGACTCTTGGCTGCGCCAGCCTCGGGGAAACCCTCCTGCATTCCCTCACGACTCAGTGTGAACGGAGAGACGAGGGGACTGGAAACGGGTCTGCTAAGGACTCCTTTGGCGGCAGTGAGTTCCATAATTTGGGGATGAGCTTATTGCATGGGACACACTGCTAGGTCCCAGCTGGCCTTTTCACAGCCAGCAGCTGCTCTGAGTGGTTAAGGCCTCAGCCACACCACTGTCAAGGACTAGGATGGCGGCCCCTCTGGGAGTCGGGGGAACGGCAATCAGGGCTCCTGTTTGTCCTCTCTGCCCTAGCTTTTGTGGGTGTCACAAGGTGAGAGGAGGAAGGTGAGCTGGGAGCAGAAAGAGCCTCATTAAACCTTCTCTCGGCTTCCTTTCTCCCCCCTCCCCTGGATCAGCCTTCCAGGAACAAAAGCAGGAAAGTGCGAAAGCTGGAGCCATCGGGGATTCGAAGCTCTGCGCCCAGGCCAGATGCGGACACAGGAAGTTGGGCGATCAGCCGGGTGCGGGCTGGGTGGGGGTGAGCAGCGCGTGGAGCCCCGGCTGCCCCCGGAACTCACGGCCGGATGCGGTAACGGATGGGCACGTCGTGTTCTGGCTGCATCAGCCCGAAGCCATACCTGCTGAGGTCAAACTCTGGGATCTCCACATCCGGGCTGACCAGCTCCAGGTCAAAGTGCATCAGCACAAGGACCACGAATCTGCAAAGAGACGGCATTGACAGTGTGAAGGAGAGGAGGCGCGGTGGGGGGGCACAGGAGGGGGACGCATGTTCAGAATACGGCAGGACGGCAGTGGCTTCCTCTGGAGTCTGGCCCCAGCTCTCACTGGGGGAAAAGGGCGAGAAGGAGAGCGAGAGAGCGGAGCACAGGTGGCCCAGGAGCTCCTACACGAGGGCTGGTCCCGGCTGACAGGCTGTGAGCAGAGGTACGTCTGTCAAGTTCACACCAAAGCATTTTGGAGCAGGGGCTGGACTCCCAGCTCTCCTTTCCTCCTGGCAGCCGTGTGGGCCTCGTGTTGAGATGGAAAGAGGCTGAGTCTCTGCATGGAGGGGAGGTGACCCCCCCAAACCCACAGCCCATGTGTGAGTGGGGACGAAGCCTTTGGTGTCACAAGCCAGAGACCGGGATCGTTTGGCACGGCAAAGCCCAGCTTCCCCTGATTAGTGTGAACAATGACTCTCCCTGACTCCCCTCCGGACCCACCCATCTTCCCTCGCCCAGAGCCCTGGGACCCCCGGTGCCTGCCGTGGTCAGGGCTGCTGCGGAACCCCAGGCTGCCTTTGCGAGGGTAGAAAGAGGCAGCCCTCCCTGGAGACATTGGACCGAGTCTGTGGGAAAACTGCCGGGAGGGACCAGCTTCGCGAGAAGGAGCACTCTTGACTGCCATCTCCTGGCAATGCGTCGCGGTAAGGAAACGCACCGTGTGTATGATGTAATCGGTGTGTTGGTACAGGCGGCGGCTGCCCTGCCGGATGTTCGCTGCTCCCCGCCCACCTGCCTGGTCTCACTTAGCACCACCTGTGTCAGGAAGGGTGCGCACGGGATCTTCACCTACTCTGTCCCCCCCCACTGCCCCCACAAATGAGAGCCAGGTGCCCAGTGTGGGCCAGAGCGCACGGCCAGGATTCTTGAATCTTAATGAATGAGGAAGAGGAAAGAGGACAGAGCAAAGTCCGCGCTCTAGACGGGAGAGCTGGGCTCTGCCTCTTAAGGAAACACGTGAGCCTCATCGAGTTTCTTTCCCACTCTGGGCCTCAGTTTCTCCGTCTGGTCAAAGAAGCTCAAAAAGGTGGGCTGTATCCCTTCCGGCTCTGAAGCGGTAGGATGCTAGTGGGTGAGTTTATGCAGCGTGGGGGCCCTGGACCCGCACCTGGATTTGCATCCGGGTACCTCCACTCACCAGGTGAGTGACCTGGCAAATGATTTGACCTCAGTGTTAGACTGACACCTACCTAGTGGGGTTGTCATGACAATTAAGTCGGATAAAAAGAACAACAAATGAGCTAACTTGCTGATATACTATGTGTTAGACACTGTGCTAAATATTTAGCATCCATTATCTCTCTGGCCCATCCGGAAGCTTTAGGAACCAGGAGCTCCAGTCGGCTCTGCTGTGACACTTGTTTTGAAGCCCTGAGTTTGTTCCAAGGTGGCTGATGTAATAGGGAATGAGTGAAGCTTAATGCAAACTTCTCGTCAGTTTATGGACACTTTGATCGTCAAGAAACACAAGCAGAATGCAAAAGCCTGCCCCCAGCTGAGCAGAGCTGAGCAGGAGCTCACAAAATGCACACACACGCCTAAACTCTATCCACCAACGGCCTCAGTCCACGGTGCGGGCGTGCGCGTGTGGGGGTTATGCACCACACCAGCCATATCAGCCCCCGGTTTCAGATCACCCTCCTCCCACTCTTCACAGTAGCTCGCAGCTGCAACCCACCATCCACTTCCACTGCGAACTTCAGGTCATTTTAAGAATAAAGCACCATATTTACTGTAGCGCTCGGATATTTCTTAACCATTTAACATGTGTCAGCCTGTACTACCATTGTTTCCCTAGGTTTTTATCTCTTTCTTCCCGGGTCACTGATGTGGTGGTTTCTGACTGCTGGGCCCTGGCCCCCCTACCCTTGTTCCCACCACCCCCGTGGTGTTCAACGCCTGAGTTCTCACGGCCCAGTGATTGTCTGGAACGCTCGTGAGGCGTTAGAGCAGAGCCGGCGGTCTGATGATCTCCATTCTACTGCTGGAAAAAGACCGAGGCCGAGAGGTTAATGCAGTGCGTCCGTTCACTCAGCACACGGCCTGCATGTTAATAGTGGCGACACTAGTAATTACAATAATAACTCATGTGCATTGCGTGCCGACCATGAGCCAGGCAGTGGGTTAAGTTTAGGAAGATCCCTTTCCTTTGTCCTGACACCCCCGGGAGGCAGTATGACCAGTACCCCATTTTACAGTTGAGGAAACAGGGCCACAGAAGGTCACCCAACTTACGATGGCACAGGGGCTGGACAGAGGGGCATGGCGGATGTTCTAACCCTGGGTCCCGCCGGTTACTGATCCGGGGGCCAAGGCTCTTGGGGTGGAGGGAGGAGAATGAAGAAGGCCTTAGAAGCACCAAAGGGCATGAGGACCCTGGGCCAGCCCCTGCCCAGAGGCTCTGAGCCGCACCGCAGAGGCAGACAGACGGCCACGGTCAGCTGCACAGACGCCATGTCTGGAATGCTGCGAGTCTGACATCTGGACGCTAGGCTTGCAGGAAGAACCTGTTGCCAGATCTGATTATTTCAAAGGAAATCAGAAAGCTGGTTTTTTTTTTTTACATGAGCTCTTCTGATTCTTACAAGTTAGTACTCGTTTTTAAAAACACAAATAAGTAGATTTGCAGGCAAGACACGGCTCAGCGGCTGCCCGTAGGAAACCTCTGCCTGCCGTAACCCTCCCCCTGGCTGGCCTCGCTGCCTCTGGAGAGAGGGGCGCGTGCCCACCAGGCAGAGCAGGAGCCTCCCCTCCCCCAGCCCCCCGACACTCACTGTTTGATGCTGCTGGTGGCGTAGCCCCTGCCCAGGCACTGGTTGTGCCCGGCTCCCCAGGGCAGGCTGCAGTTCTTCAGCCGCTTCCCGTCCTTGTAGAAGTCTCTCTTCTCCGACCCGTCGGGGTTCAGGAACCGGTTGTATCTGAACACCTGCGAGGGGAAGCAGGTCCGTGTCTGACTCCACCCCCACGACACTCATGCACGGAGAAAGGCTATGAGGATGTTCACGGCGGTCTTGTTTACAAGAGGAAAAAAAAACACAGGAAACTATATAAAGGGCAATGAAGAGGGGACTGGTTAAAAAATTAACCAGCTATTTAGAAGGCTGGGCTTGGTCTGGGTGTGCTGACACAGAAAAAAAATTTTTAAGATTTTATTTACTTATTTATTTTTAGAGAGAAAGGGAGGGAGGAAGAGAGGGAGAGGAACATCAACATGCGGTTGTCTCTCACATGCCCCACACTGGGGGGAGCTGGCCTGCAACCCAGGCGTGTGCCCTGACTGGGAATTGAACCAGTGACCTTTTTGGTTCACAGGCCGGCACTCAATCCACTGAGCCACACCAGCCAGGGCAGAATTTTTAAGACTATTAGAGTGAAAAAAGCAAGTTTGGGGATAGCATGCTTTGTATGACCCTATTCACACGCCTATCCATTCACATGTGTGTGAGCGTGTGTATGTCTCTAAAGGCATCCAAATAGTTTCAAGGACACGCTCCCACCCCTTGTTAGGGAACTCTGTAGAACTGGAGAGGAAGGGAAAGAAGGAAAATCCTGTCTTTAAATATATGTCTATATATTTCTATTTTATAAGTGTACGTTACTTTTGTAATTTAAAGAAATTATTTTTAAAAAGAGAATGCCAATTTGGCTCATTGCGCCGTGGTAAGGGGAGAACCGTGTCTGAGAACAGGACCTGGCACAGGGTCCGTGCCCGGTGGCTGGACCAGTGGGTGGACTGACGGGGGAAAGGGTTGTGGGTGGGGGCGTGGATGGATGGATGGAGGATGGACAGATGTATCAATGAACAGATGGGTGGATAAACTGATGGATGGATAGACGAGCATACAGAAAGAACAGTACCGGGCATACAGTACGCACTCAAATCTATTAGAAATGGTGCAAGTTTCCCCTCCTAAAGTCCAGGAAGAGGGAAAAGGGTTGAGAAGCTGGCATGATAACGTTCTGAAAACAGGAAAACCACTCGGCTATCGTTTAAAAAGCATTCACCCTGTGCCAGGCACGCTGAAGGCCTTCCGTACACGATCTCATTCAATCTTCCTGACAACCCGGTGAGGCAGGTGCCGTTATGAGGTTTACTTCACAGGGGAGGAAACAGAGACAGAGACAGGTGAAGTCGCCTGGACGAGGTCCCACAGCAAAGAGCCGAGCAAGGATGCCACTCAGACCTGGCTGACCTGGAAGTCACTGCTTTCTCCCCACGGTCCCTGCGATGCCACTCACCTCTGGGTCTGTGTAGACCTCCGGGTCCTTCTGGGGACTCAGGAATGGAAAGAGGAGGAGGCGGTCACCGCGTCGCAGGGCGAATTCCCGCCCGTCCGCCATGGGCAGGGCCAGGTCCACCACGACCTCTCGGGTGATGAAGGGCGCGGCCGTGAGCCTGAGGCTCTCACTCAGCACGCTGTCTGCACCGGGCAGGGACAGGGAAGGGTCAGCAGCTGTCCTCTTAGCCACCCAAATGCCACCCTGGCTCTCACTTTACAGGGGAAGATGAGGAGGCTCAGAAGGGGAGCGTGACGTGCCCACCATTCCACAGGGAGGCCGAGGAGGCCACCTCGTGAGGTGTGATTGTGGTGGACTGTCAGAGACCTTAGGAGGGCCATTGCTACGGTTCCCTCGGAGACCTTAGATGGGTGGATTTGGGTCCGATCCCGAGAGAAGCTGTGCGGACAGCAGGGAGGATGGAGATTATCAGAGGAGACAAGGCAGAGAGCAGGGCCGTTAATATTCATTGTTTCTGCCTGCCCAGCATACATGCCCCTTCTGGAAAGAGCCCCCTGATTTCCCTCTAGGGGCCACCCCTCTCCTACGGATCAGGGGTTGGGCTATTGGTTCCACTATCGACTCCTGGGATCAGGCTGTGTCATGATTGGCCAATCAGAGCATCCCAACCCTCTGAGCCCCAACTGGGTCAAGATGAGCCTATGACCCTCAAAGAGAGCCAAGGAGACACACTGCTGGGACTTTGGGTAGGAATGCTGCAGAGAGGCGCACCCTCGTGGGCCAAGAGCACATTGGCTTGGAGCTTCTGGTGCCCATCTTACCAGCCTGAGACTGGAGCTGACCCAGCAGACAGCGAGGCTGGGAGATGGAGAAAGACTGAGTTCCGATGGCCTTGTTAGAGCACCTGGATCCACCTGTACCTGAAGCTAGATACCTCTGGACTTTCTAGTTACTTGCCCCAAATAAAGTCTTTTTTCCCCCCTTTAGCCAGCATAAGTTAGGGGTTTTTTTGCCATTTGCAACCAAAAATCTCCTACTGAGACTATGAACAGCTGAGACAGAGGCATGGAGACGCTAGGTCTAAGAAGGGAGGAGGCTCACGGGGACCTTAGACCCCAGGACACTGGTGGAACCGGGACGATGGGCGCTCACGTAGGGCAAGGCTCAGGGGGCCACGGTGACCCAGGCTTTGGGGCCATCTGCAGAGTCTGACCGGCTCACCGAGCACAGGCATGCTGTCCAAAACCTTCGGCGGGAGGGTGGCCGTCTGCGAGACAGGCGGCTCTGCTCGGCGGAGGACTTGCTCGAGCTCTCCACGGACGGCGGCCAGGGCCTCGGGGTTCTTGAGGAGGAAGAGCAGAAGCCAGAAGGCAGCCGGACCCATGTTGCCCTGCAGTGAGGAAGAGCCCCTGTGCAGCATCTCGAGGACAAGGCTGGGGCGAGAGCTGCCTGGTCCACGCCACGGATGCAGCCCTGGCTGAGGCCGGGGTCTGGGGGGAGGGGGAGCAGGAGGCCTGAGTCCCCACCCCTGCCAAACACCGAGGCATGGCCTCTGTCTGTCTTCAGCCTCACAACATGGCCGAGAACTGCGCTGTGGTTTTGGCAGAGTCCAACGGCTACCACCTCAAGGCCGTTCCTGGCATCCCCGACCTTGAGCAAAATCACTGGTATGAGGTTGCATAGGCGATCTTCATAGCTAACCAGCAAAACAGTGTTAATAACAGCAACAAGGTGTGCCAATCTGGGATGACTTAACATCTGAGGACAATTGTACCCTTGGCCCCAATTCTTTACCCCTCCAAGGGCATCCACCCCCTTACCATTAACTGACTTTGCACCGGCCCCCATTAAAGAGGAGTGCATTTCCCCGCCCCTTGGATTTGGCCTCAGTCATGTGACTTGCTCTGGCCAATAGAATGAGGCGGGATTGACAGAACAGCAGTTCTAAGTCTAGGCCTCAAGAGACCTTGTGCATTTCCACTTGCCTGCCTAGTCCACTGGTCCCAAGGAAGGTGGGGGGGCGGGGGACACATGGGACAGAGTGCACTGTCCAGCTGGGCCCCATCTACACCAGCTGCCTCGCAGCGGGCCCATAGACGTGTGAGTTCAATAAAGGCGCATCAGTGTCTGCCGCTGAGTTTTTGTGGTTGTTTGTTGTATAACAACAGCACATTGGTACAACACCTCACACATTTGCTTTAAAAAATGTGAGTAACTGTGTACATATAAAGCAAAGCAGCAGCAATGATCAATGATGACTGTGGAAACTATGAATGTCTTGAACGAAAGTTATCTGAAACTTCCCATTAGCTGAATAATTAGGAAAAAAGACTTTTCCCTTGGCTGAACATTTTCATGCCCGCATATCCAGCCTGTGGCTGAAATGTGTACGGGGTCCCTTTAAATGAGGCCTGGGCGAACACCCACTAACCTCACCTGGGGGGAAGATTCTCGTCCTGCCATAAATGACTGTCCCAGCCAGTCGTAACAATGGAATATTCAACAGCCACTAAATACCACGTTTACCCAGTAACCGTATCACAGACCTAACTGCGCGCGGACGAGAAGTTATTTGTACAAGGGTGTTTACCGCAGTGCTGCTGATGTACTGGCGAGATTGAAAGCCAGCTCCGTGGCTATCAAAGAGATAAATGGTGATCCGCCCTGCGGATGATACAGGAAGTCGCTGCACAGACGCCAGCCCCGTGGATACTGATTCGGACCGGACCCAGGGCGCACCGGAGCATGCGAACGGCGAGACGCAGAGCGGTGCTCGGCATGCCCCTGGGGGTGTCTGTTTGAAGAGCACAGGTGTGCCGAAGCACAGACCCTCTAGGGGACTCAGGCAGCTGGTAACTGAGGGCGGGAGGGTAGGGAAGGGAGGTGGGGCCTGGCTCCTCACTGCCCTCGTCTTTTTCAACTGCTTGGACTTTAAAAACAATGTATTACTTTTAAGCAAAACAAAAGTGGGTGATTTTTTATAGGGATCTGCAAGGTCACGCAGAAGTACCTATGACACAATATTAGGTCATATTAAAAGTGGGATTTAAAGAGCTGCATGGTCTTAACCGCTGAAGAAAAACATACAGAAAAGTCAGTAAACAAACGCACCAGAGCATCAGTGAGGGTGAAACGGATTTCCTGTCCTCTCTTCCTCTCCAGCTACCGTGATGGTTTCAGTGGGGCCCCTCCTTGGGGCCACGCTCCCCTGTTCCGTTTCCTTGCTGAGTGTGCACCATTATCACACCTTTCACTGAAGAGGAAAACTAGGACCGTGGTCCTAGTCTCTACCCACGGTCCACCTAGCAGAGGCTCCTTGGTATTTGTCGAATAAACATCTGTGTCCCTTTAGGGTGGGGCCTGCAAGTCAGCCTGCAAGGCAGACAGGCTGGCAGAGCCCTGAACTGGGACCAGGCAGAGCTGGGTTCAAATCCCAGCTCCCCACGTCCTGTCACTCCAGACAAGTCAGTCATGTTCTCCTCTGGGTCTTAGAACTTCCCTTTTGCCGAAATAACAATATGCCGACTTCCGGGGCAGCCGCAAGGGTCCACTGAGACTGGATGCTAGCGACCCCCACGTGCTGGCCACAGAGTAGGCTCTCAGAAGAGGTCTCTCCCTCCCTCCGGCCCCTCCCCCCGGCCTGAGAACAGGCGGGGACCCGGGACTCCCTCTGAGGTTTCCTCCAGCACCTCGGGTCCGGCGGAGACACGCAAGGTCAGTTGCTGCTCATCACTTAAATAGCCAGGGGAATGCAGGTGATAAATAATTCAGCTTTGGGTTAACTCGGTGCCAAGGCCACTTCCTCTTGCCAGGATGGCCCGATGGGGGCCGCGGCTCATTAATTACCAAGCAGGAGCGGAACACGAGGCCACTCACTTGTCTCTGCTTTCGGGAAAAAGCTGGGGCAAGTTAGGGAGGTGACAAGGACTGCCTTCCACTCCACTGCACAGACGTGCGTGGGTGTGGACACACATGTGTGTGCACGCACACGTGCTGTGTGATCGATCGCACAACCATAGAGGACGCTGAGTCCGATGCCCTGGAAGTGCAGCTTTCTCCGCTGGGGCCCCGCCTCACTCACCCAGGAGGACACTCTGGCCTGGCCGCAGTGCCCCCCTGAGGCCATAGTCCAAGGCCCAGGGAGGGGCGGTGTTGGGGTGCGAAGGGGGGCACGCCTGTGCCGGGATGGGCCTGCGGGGACTCTCCTCCTCTGCCCACCCCGACCCACGTTCCCTGAGACCCGGCCTCTTCTCCCGCCTGGACCTTCAGCTTCAGGCCACTGCTCCTCCTCCAGGTCCCTGGGTGCGGGAGCCTCCCGCTGACCCCTGCACCGGCCAATTCTAGGCTTTGCAGCTCTGGATTCATGGAGCCTTTGTGAGGACCCTATGTCTGTAAAGTACCCAACAGGATGGCTGGCACGCGGCATGTATGAGATCGCTTCCGAAAAGATTATTCGTGCCTCCACTCGGACCTGACAATAGCAATCCCAAGTGCCCTTTGTCAACCCCTCGGAATACTTTCCGATCTGACCTCTGGAGGGCGCTCCCTCCCGACTCCCTTTTACCCCCCAGGCCCCTCCTCCTCTGTCCTCTTTGCTGTCTCCCCCTCATCTTCTCCTCCCCCAAACGGGAGAGGCCAGAGCTTGGGCCCCTTCCCCACCCACTCCCACCCCGGTGGTCTCCAGCCCAGCGGTGCCCACTCCGTGTCTACACTCACAGCCCCGAACAGACGTCTCCAGCTCGGACCTTAACCTTGGACTCCGGACTCTTTTCTTTAGATGCTACCCTCCCCCCATTCTCCATCTCCAATTCGGCACACCCAAAACCAAACCCCCGGTTTCTTCCCCCGCACTCGCTGCTTCCACCATCCACCTCGCCCAGTAACTACAGCGTCCCTCTGCCCACCGCTCAGGCCACACCCAGAGCATCCTTGTTCACACCCGCTCCCCGGCCCCCGCCCACAGCCATCCTGCTGGCTCCACCTGGAAACACGCCCAGAGTCCCGCCACCGTCCCCTCTGCCCCTGGTCTAGCACCATCCTCTCTTGCCTGGTGACTGCAGTGGCCTCCTCCCTGGTCTCCCTGCCTGCACTCCGCCCCCGCCACGACCTACAGAGTTCCCAGCAACGCAGCCAGAAGGACCCCTCTCGAGAAGAAGACAGGCCATGCTGGCCCTCTGCTCAGAGCCTTCAGAGGGTTCCCATCTCAGAGGAAAAGCCGAAGTCCTCCCCATGGCCCCCAGGGCCCGGAGTGGTCAGGCCCCTCTGCCCCGCCATCCCCGCCCCACCTCAGGGCCTTTGCACGTGCTGCTGCCCCGCCTGGATGTCCTCCTCCTATACACCTGCGTGGCTGCTCCCGCACTTCCTTCCAGTTTCTGCTCAGATATCAGCTACCTGGCGAGGCCTCCCTTGACCGCCCTATCTAAAGTGGGCCCTCCCCACACCCCTCTGCGAACCCCTCCCCAGCTTTATGGGTGCTCCACCGAACATCCCCTCTAGGACGCTTTACACGCTTGTTTGTGGACAGTCCGTCTTCTCCCACCAGGACACCAGCTCTGCCAGGGCGGGGGTCTTGGATCTGCTCTCTGCTCTACAACCAGCTTCTGCAACGGTGCCCGGCGCTCAGGGGGCCCTCACTAGATGTTTGTGAAATGCATTTATTGAGCTCTCGTTACCTGCCAAGCACAGATATCCCTCCTTCTCATCCTTTTATCCTTTCCACCGCACCTTGAGAAAGGCGCCGCCACCTCCATTTTAAAGACGAGTAAACTGAGGCACCGAGAGTGAAGCGACCGACTTGCCAGGAAACAGCGGGTCACTCCCAGAGCCCGGGCCCGAAACCACTGGGCTGCAGCACAGCACCTTGGCCGCGCTCTCGAGACCTGTGATCTCCAAGGGTCTCCCCACCTGCCTGCGCTCTGGATGCTGCCAATGACTCAACCTCAGAGGATGTCCTGTCCCCAGCTCCTGGGCAGCTTTCCTGGCCCTGCCACGGGCTGCTCCCCGGACTTCCTGTCACTCAAGCCCCCAGGCCAGCATCCAATTGTGCTGACGGAGGTCATTTCCGCAAGGGGTTCTGGAGAGAGTTTGGAGCTCCAATCTCTGCCCATAAATGTGCTGCTAGGCACTAATGGGGCCCCGCTGCTGATCAAACCCGGCCCCCGGCCCTTGCCAGCCCTCTGCCTACAGGGACAGTTAATGGCTCCGAGAGAAGACTAAAAATAAGTTGTGCGTCGATGGGAGAGGAATTACCCTGAAATGTCAGCCTGAGCCACGGTCACAACTGAGGCGGGGCCAGGAGAAGGCGGGGCCCTGGGGCTGGGTGAGGGCAGGAGCCGGGCCCGGGGAGGCGGCACCCTCAGCCCCGCTTCCTCTGCCCCCAGTGCCGGGCCCCTTCCTGAACCCACGGGCGGGCGCTGTCTCCTGGGTGTTTCCAGAATCTATCCGCATCCTCGTCCCTCCCGTGGCCCTGCCACCAGTGTCTCCTCATTGTGTCCCTCTTCTGCCCTTGCTCCCCAGATCCTGTCCCTCCTTTGCACCCCGGACTCCAGACTCACCCAGAGAAACCCCAAGTCTTCCCTTACCAGGACTCATGGGCCCTTTGTGACCTCTTCCCGCAGCCCCACGCCCCCTCCTCACTCCGCTTCACAGAGGATCCTGTTCACGATGCTCTTTCCCAGTGAAGGAAGTCAGGGGACTGGGCCTGCGTGCACAGCCTGTGCGCACAGCCCAGACCCACACTCACAAACGCACACACTCATGTGTGCACACCCACACACCCACACCTGCACGCCGTGCCCACCTGTGTGGCCCAGAGCTGCAGCAGCAGCGCCCGCGCCCGCATCTCCTCTGACACACCCATCTCCTCCAGGTGCAGCAGGTAACTGTCCAGCCAGCTGCTGCGGTGGGCCCGGGTGGCCAGCCTGGCCGGGGACAACAGCTTCCACAGGCGACCTTTCGCACTGCATGCGCGGTCCTTGTCTGCTGCAGGAACAGAGCACGGAGGGTGCGGGTTACAGACCCGTGCCCAGCCCAGGGCCGCTCAGCCCTGACCTCCCGTGAGGCCAAGGGTCTTCTGGGCGTCACTCCCTGGGGGTGGGCAGTTCCTGAGGGAAGGAGGCTACAGGGAAGCCCTTTACAAGTTGACTCATGTATTGTCTGTCTCGCCCCCAGAGAACAGGGGCGAGGGGACTTGTCTGTTTTATTCACCTCTGTGTCCCCAGCAACTGGCCCACAGTAGGTGCTCAATGAACACGTGTTACATGGACGGTGGTTGTTTACCCTGCAGGGGAGGGAACACGAAACACACCAAGCAGCATTCCCCAGACTCAGCCCAGCTCCATTCGGAGTCCCCAGAAATGAACGAACTGCCATCAAGAAGGGACAGAGCTCTCAAACTGAACTGCCCCCCGGGAAGGGGGTAGAGTGAAGGAGGGAGGAGGGCCAGGGGGGAGCTGTGGGGGGCAGAGGGTCAGGGGTGGCCTCGATGCAGCTCCAGCAATTGGCCCCCGGGACCGATCTGTCCCCAGCCAGGGAGCTTAGCACATAAGCAAGAAGTGTGTAATCACTGCGCAGGTCACACCAGCAACTCGAAGGCTCAACTCCGGCCCAGGAATCGCCAATTTGCGATCACTGTCAAATAAGCCTCGGCCTGCTCTGCTCTGGAAAACCGGTGAGACGCGCCCACGAGGGCGGGCCGCCGGGGGGACGCAGCCAGGTGGGCACTGGTCAAACACTGTGTGCGCGCTACAAGACGATGCTGTATTCACACAGATGCGTGCGACTATAAGGTTCGGTTTTCCCTAGATCGCCCCGTGGAAGAGTGGGCGTTACTCGGGATCACTACGAAATCCCCAAGTTCTAGGAACTCTCTCGTGGACTTTTTAAATGTGTGTGAGCCAGAAAACAGTGTTTCAGGAAGACCCACCCACCCAGTGGTTCTCAGCCCAGCCGCATACTACAGGGTACTTAAGAGGGCGTAAAATAAACATCTTTTTAAAGTATATTAGTTACATTTTCAAATAGCATGCAGTGAGCCCGATTGCTGATCTGAAATGCATTATTTTCCTGTGTTTCCCAACTTTTCAGGCACTGGAGGACCACCCGGGTGCTTGTGAATCCCCTGCCCAGGTCCCACCGTAGGCCACTGTCGTCAGAATCTCTGGGGACCGGCCCAGGCTCGGGCAGATTTGGATCAGGGGAGTGCAGAGTGCAGGTGGCGTCGCCGCCGCCTCCACCGATGCCAGTTCTGGGCGCCTGCAAAAGTCACCGGGTGCGACAGTTCTGAAAAGGAGGCCCGGGAATTCAGCACAGACTAACAATGACTGGCATTCCTTGAGCTCGGACGGCGCCGCTGCAGGTATTGCTGTAAATATTACTGTAAATGCTGCTTTTAAGGAGGACTCGACAGAGCAATGGCCTGTGAAAGACAACCGACAGAGGGGGAGAAACTATTTGCACATCACCTATCCGATAGGGTCTAGTACCCAGAATATATTAAAAACTCCTGTAACTCAACAAGAACAATACCCCCCCCCCCCAAAAAAAACCCTAAAATGGACAAAGGGCTTGAACGGACATTTCCCCAGGGATGATGTACGAATGGCCAACAAGCACAGGAAAAGGTGCTCAACGCCACGACTCATTAGGGAAACGCCCATCAAAACCACAGTGAGGGACCATCTCCTGCCCCTTAAGAAGGCTAGTATCCAAAAATAAAGCTAAATAACAAGCAAGGATGTAGAAAAACCGGAGGAACCCTGCATGTTGCTGGTGAGAATGCAGAACAGTGGGGCCACCGTGGGAAAGTGTGGCAGGTCCTCAAAAAGATACAGATAGAACCGCCGTTGACCCCAGCAACCCCACTCCCGGCTGTGTGCACCAGAGAGCTAACAGGACCTCAGACAGACGCTTGAACACTCGTATAGTTCATAGTAGCACTGTTAGCAGCAAATAAAGGTGGAAGCAATCCGGGTGGCAGCCAACAGATGTATAGCTGAACAAAATGCAGTATCTCCATATAGTGGACTATTACTCAGCCTTAAAAAAGGAAATGCTGACACAGGCTGCAACACGGATGAACCGTGCAAACCTTATGCTTAGTGAAATAAGCCAGACACGAGGAGAAATATAGTATAATTCACTTATATGAGATACCCAGCAAATTCAAAGCGACAGAAAGTAGAATAAAAAGTTACCAGGGCCCTGGTTGGCATAGCTCAGTGGCTTGAGCGTGGGCTGCGAACCAAAGTGTTGCAGGTTTGATTCTCAGCCAGGGTACATGCCTGGGTTGCAGGTCATGACCCCCAGCAACCGCACATTGATGTTTCTCTCTCTCTCTCTTTCTCCCTCCATTCCCTCTCTAAAAATAAATAAATAAAATCTTAAAAAAAAGTTACCAGGGGCTGAGGGAGAGGGAGATGGTGGTTACTGTTTACTGGATACAAAGCTTCTGTTTGGGACGATGAGAAATTTCTGCTAACAGATAACGATATAGTTACACAACATTGTGAATGGGCTTATTGCCACTGAATTGTATACTTAAAAGTGGTTAAAATAGTAAACTTTATAGTTTGTATATGTGGCCACCGTTAAACAGAGAGAAGTATGTGAATGTCATTTGGCAAATGAGCCAAAGATGGTGTTGTATAATAATAATAATAAAAAAGGACTAGCAAAAAATTAAAAATTTAGCGCAGTGATTTGATCCTCAAATCAATCCCCATTTGTAGAGAGAGCCCTTGGAACAGCACGGGGCATGCACCACACACGAGACAGAGTCGTTGCTGCTCTACGTATGTCGTGAGGAAAAAGCGAAGTGCCCAGAAGAGTGTGTCTGGGATGCATTCACGGAAAAAAGAGAATGATTAAGAACACAGTCACTTTGCTTGCATTTGCATACAGGAACTCTGGAAGGTTCCATGTGAAACTGATAAAACCAGCCAACTGGGGAGGGAGAGTGAGAACTGGGTGGGAGACACTATGATGAGAAAGCGGGGGAGACATTTCACTACCATGATTTTCTATTTCCAATGGACGAACCACATAAAATATAGTCAAAGCCTGGCAATGCCCACACTCCCCCCAACCCCCACCAGAGACAGTTTCCAGAGAAAAGACCACAGTGTCGCAGATTCTGAGATTCAGTGAGTTCACTCCGAGTCTCGTACGGACGATACTGGAGTGAAGAAGAGGGACCTGGGAAGCTGAGCCTGGCGGTTCAGCCACCTGGTGGGCGAGATGCTGGCATCGAGGGTGGAGTCTGAATAGAATCATTGCCCGAAATGAAAGTGTAAGAAGAAGGCAAAAGTTCACATTGCATGTGAGCTTAACAACAGATGTTCAGCAAAATCAGTGAGGGGAAAGTTCAACTTCATTTCCGTTCTTAATTATTTCTATATTTTGGGTTGGCCAAAAAAAACCCCAAAAAACAAAAAAACAAACCAAAACAATACCTTCCCACCAGGAAAACAGGGGCTGGCTGTATATTTGGATCGCAGTATAATCTGGGCTTGCGCCGTGTTTCAACGCGCGGGGAATGGTCTAGAACCGCTCTGTGCAATAAGGCAGCCACAGGCCAACCACGGTGACGGGGCCTTTAAAACGTGGCTTGCCCAGACCGGGACACGCTGGGAGTCAAAGTTTTAGCACGAGTAACGAAATGTAAATGATGTCACTAATAATTTTTATATCGATGACATGCTGAAATGCTGATTTAATTTTAGATCTACTGAGCTGAAGAAAATGTATTATTAAAATGGATTTCATCTCCTTTTTAAAAGCGTCTAGCAGAACAGTTAAAGATAACTCTGTGGCTTGCATTCAAGGAACGGCAGTGTTCTAGAAAGACAACACCAAACTGATAACAACAGTCACCTTGGGAGGAGAATTTCCCTTTTCTGTGATATTTAGCTTTTTTTTTTAATAAGACACAGGTGAGCCCAGATAAGAGCTGGAGCTCTGGGCCTGAGCACCTGGCCTTGGACCAGTCACCTTCCCTCTCAGCACCTCAGTCTGCTCACCTGTGAAATGGGATGGTAGGAGCCCCCACCCCGCAGGGTTATGCGGAGATCGACTGCGTTAACATACAACACACAAAAAGTGATACCTGCAGTAGTCCCAATAAACATCAGGTATATTACTACATAGTGCTTAATGAATGCCAGCAAATTATTAGTCCAAGGAGAGTGCATTCACGTATTGATTATTTCTATGATTAAGAAATAATGATACAAGCCCTGGCTGGCGTAGCTCAGTGGATTGAGCGCAGACTGTGAACCAAAGCGTCGCAGGTTCGATTCCCAGTCAGGGTACATGCCTGGGTTGCAGGCCACGGCCCCCAGCAATCGCACATTGATATTTCTCTCTCTCTCTCTTTCTCCCTCCCTTCCCTCTCTAAAAATAAATAAAAATAAAATCTTAAAAAAAAAGAAATAATGATACATTGCTCTGCCCCTTCCTAGAAGGATGATCTTGGGCAAACCACTGTGTATCCCTGAGTCTCAGTTTCCCCATCTGTAAAATGGGGGCACCCTGGCTCACAGGATCATTAGGAGGATATAAAAAGAACTTACACAGCCCTGACTGGCGAGGGTCAGTTGGTTGAGCTTAGTCCCGTGAAGGGCAAGATCACCGGTTGGGTTCCTGGTCAGGGCACATGCCTGGGCTGTGGGCCAGGTCCCCAGCTGGGTGCATGTAAGAGGCAGTCGACTGATGTTTCTCTCCCTCTCTTTTTCCCTCCCTTCCCCCCTCTCTAAAAATAAATAAATAAAATCTTTATTAAAAAAGACCTTATACAGAACATGCTTGATACAGGTAGGGGTCTGGTAAATCCCTTGCTATATTCCAGCCACTGTTATAAGGTATGTATTATTTCAGCCACAGTTTAAGGACTCAAAGCTGTGAATCAGAACTTCTGGGCCCATGTGGCTGGTCATAGGATTCGATGCAGCAGAAGCAGGTTCAAATCCCAGACCTCCCATGCTGTGTGGAAGTGGTTAAGGCCGCATCTACCTCTGTTGCTCACTCTCCCCATCTGTAGAAAGAGGGTTTTTCTTAGGAAGTGCCTCTGTCCGCTGGAGACCTGGGGGCACAGAAAGGCCCCCTTGGGGAGACAGGCCTTTCAAGTCTGCATTCTCCTGCCCTGGCAGATGTGACTTAGGGGGTTGAGCACCAACCTGCAAACCAACAGGTCGCTGGTTCAATTCCCAGTCAGGGCACAGGCCTGGGTTGCGGGTTAGGCCCCCAGTAGGGTGTGCACGAGAAGCAATCACACACAGATGTTTCTCTCCCTCTCTTCCTCTCTCCCTTCCCTTCTGTCTTAAATAAATAAATAAATAAATAAAATCTTTTTTTAAAAAAGTCTGTGTTCTCCCTTTAAAATGAATTAGGTTTATGTATTAGACTCTCTGATTCTTTAGTATAAGAATGTCTATTCCCCCAAAACAAAAGTCAAATGAAATAGCCTCCCTACACAGTAATCAGTAAAACGAATGTTCTAGAAAGAAGCAGTTAGCTTAGCTTGGGGCTTTATTTAACTGTCCCTGCCCTCAATGCCCTACTGTAAGAGAAACACCAGACTCAATGGTCTGAGGGTCAGTTTTCTTTTAAATATATTTATATTTTGTTACAGCATAGGAGATATGCATGTACATGGTAAAATAATAATAATAAATATAATAATAAAAGAAATTCTAAAAGTTCAAACGGGTATACCATGAAAGTAAGTTTCTCTTCAGCCCATCTAAGCTTTCCCGGAAGCAAAAATCTGTGCATGTTCTCACCTTTTAAAACACGTGGATGTTAACTAAGCTTCTCCTAGTAATCATTTCACAAAGTATGTAAATCAAGTCAGGTACACCTCACACAGGACGTATGGCAGTTATATCTCAATAAAACTAGAAAAAAATAAAAAGAAAAATAAACAGCACAACATACCCACTGTCCACACCTTTTTCAGAACGGTGGGTTTCGTCCTGCAGCGATCCATCCCCTTCTGTGAATGCGTCATTTATTTCACCAGCCCTCGCGGTGGGCATGTAGGCTGTTTCTAGTGTTTGCCATTACACGCAACATGGCAGGGAAGATCTTGGTGTGTCTGTAGACATGTGCAAGCATGTCTGTGGGACAGTTTTTAGCAATCGAAGTTCAGGATTCGAAGAACGTGCATTTTATATGTTGATAGGGACAGCTTTGCCCTACAGCCTCCTGCTCGGAACTGAGAAACCTTTCCCAACATTGCCACCTGCTGCCTGTCCTGGGAAGTGCAGCCTTCCTTTAACCAGCCCAGGTCTGCTCCCAGAAGGACCGAGGGCCCCCCTCCGCATCTACCCAGCCTCCAGGGGAGCGTCAGAGTGGAGCAAAGGGCAATGCAGAAACCACTCTCTTCTGGAGAAGCCGTCGGGGCTGGAGTGTGCCAGGTGATTTATGCACAGCATTTTGCAAATCAAATGGGCTACGTTTCCATTTTGCTGGCTGTGCTGCCCACCAGCTGTAGCTGTGTCTATGACAAGGGACCTCTCTGAGCCTCAATTTCTTTACCTGCCAAGTGGGTATAATGACACCAAACCTCCAACATTGACGGCAGGAGTCAGCAAGATAATGATTTGCCTCTAAAAAGACGTTCAGAGACACGAAGAGACAACTGACAGAGGAAAAGCAAATGGCTGGGAAAACATAAAAACACATTTCATCTCTGTTGCCAGGGAAATAAATGCCTATGAAGCCACAGGCCCTTTTCCACCCATCGGATTGGCAGGGAGTTAAAGGCTGATAACTGCTTGTTGAGAAGGTTGTGGGAAAATGCAAATCAAAACACGCTACCCAGCTTTGCCCATCAGATTGGCAAACAAGTGGAAAGACTGATAACCTCCCGTGGACCCCTTCCCTTCGGGGAGGCGTAGAAATTGCTCCATTTTTTGGAAATGATGCGGTAGTAAGTAGTAAATATTTGAATGTGTATGCCCTTTGACCTGGCAAACACACTTCCAAAAAAATGTCATCAAGAAATAAAGCCGCCAAATGGCCGAAGTGATAACAGTCCAAGATATGATAATAGTCACACGGACACATGAAAGGAAGCAATTATAACAACCCTTTGGAGGGGCGTGGCTACCTAAATACTGACACGTAAGGGCTGGAAGAGTGTTTTGTTGTTGTTGTTGTTAATTCTGTCCTTCCATTTTGCTGGATTCTTTTTTGCTTCAGTTAGTTTTATCATGGATTTCTGAGGTTTTCCAGACACAGTAGATCATTTGCACATAGGGATAGTTTTAATTCTTATACCAGAAATTGATTTCTCTTTTCTAATTGTATTGGCTAGCACCTAGAAGATGTTTCTATTGACAGGGGAAAAGGTATCTATATTGTAAGCTTAAAAAAAAAAACAAGTTTCAGGCCTGGCTGGTGTGGCTCAGCGGATTCAGTGTCAGTCTGTAAACCAAAGGGTCGCTGGTTTGATTCCGAGTCAGGACACATGCCTGCGTTGTGGGCCAGGTCCCCAGTAGGGGGCGCATGAGAGGCAACCACGTTGATGTTTTTCTCCCTTTCTCCTTCCTTTTCCCTCTCTCTAAAGATAAATAAATAAAATATTTTTAAAAAATAAAATAAATACTATACACTTTAGATATGTATATATGTCTGTATTTACAAAATAGAATATCCCTGCAAAATACTGAAGGGATATATGTGAGCATGTTAACATCTGTCTCTGTAGGAAGCTGGGCTTGGAAGAGTGAATGTTATTACTTTTCACCGTCTACACCCATGAATTTTTACCCCCAATAATGTTTCCTAATTTAAACAACCTAATGTGTTCAAGTCTGGTTTACAACAAAATATAAATAAGGGAAATGAAGTGATGAGCCGTTGTGGGCGCTGAACGAGACAACATTGTGTTAACCTGGTAGCAGGCACGCCGAAAATGCTCAAAAAACATTTTTTTTCTTGTTACCTCAGCCAATCCTGACCGTCTAGGAAAGTCCTACTCTGCTCCCCATTTTACAGGGGAGGTCCTTCACCTTGAGCTGGGACGCGCCCTGTGTGTCCTGCGGTCTGCCTCGCCTCCCCAGGCCCCGTGGCCCCGCGCCCCCACCGCCGGTGCTTACCCGCGGACAGGGAGCCGCGCGCCAGCTTGGGGAGCAGCAGCTCGAGCTGGCGGAAGGCGTGGAAGACGTCGGCCGAGTGGGCGCGGTCCTGGGCCTGACTCTGAGGGGTGCGCGGCAGCGCCTCGACTCCGTACAGCGTCAGGTAGCCGGCTCTGGGGACGGCACACAGCGGGTCAGGGGTCCTCCCTGGTCACTCCCGGCCAGACCCCGCCGCCCCCCCACCCAGCAGCCTACAAGCTTTTCTTCATTCACGCCCCCAGTGAGCACCTACCCTTCCTACTGGCTGCCCCGGCTGCTCGGGCCGGGAGCCGCGGTGAACGAGACAGACAAAACGCTCAAGGCCTCCTAGGGTGGGCACTCACGTGCAGGAGACAGGCCAGAGACAAGGGAAGTGCATGAACGACTGATGTGTCAGCCGGTGCCCCGAGGTGTGTGGGAGGGAGGGGGCGAAGGGGCTCGCCAATGGGCTGACACCTGGCGGGAAGGGCAGAGGGATCCGTGGGTGCCAACATCCGAGGTGGGGCGGAGGTGGGAGGGCTGAGGAGCAGCAAGGAGGCAGGTGAGGCCGAAGCAGAGTGACAGTGGGGTAAGATGGAGCCACAGGCCAAGAGAGGAGGCTCCTGCCCCTGCAGAAGGAGTCAAGGCAGGCTCCCTGGAGGAGGCAGGGTCTGAGCGGAGACCTGTGGGGTGAGCAGGGGAAAAAAGAGGGGTGAAGGGTCACAGCCTGGGGAAGGGCTGGGGGCTGAGGGAGCAACTCGGCCTGGTCAGAGCTGCCAGGTGCCGCTGGTCCAGGCGCGGGAGCTGGAGCGTGAGGGGACAGGGACAGGACGGAAGCGGTCCAGGAGCTGGCAGGGCTGGTCGTGCAGGGCAGGGCGGGGAGGGGCCTGCAACCATGAGAAGGCTGGGTTTGACCTGAGGGGTCAGGCGGAAGAGGGACAGGGCCTGGTCGGGGGTGGGGAAAGGAAGAAGCACAAGAGCAAGTGTGCATTGGGACGTGCACTCACACTCACACACACACACACACACACACACTCCCCCGCCCACCCCCGCAGGAAGGGTCCTGGAGGAAGTGTTTTCCGCCAGCAGTCACTTTCAAACACTTCAGGAGCCCCAGGCCCACGGGCCTCCGTCCTGGGAGAGAAACCGCAGGCTCTCACTTTTCCCGTGAGGTGGGAGGTGCCTCTGCAGAGAGACACCACGGAAGCCCACTGCCCCCCTTGAGTGCCCCCTGGTCCCTGCATCTCCCCGGAGAGGGAGTTTCCTGAGAAGGAGGGTGGGCACCAGAGTGGGGGAGGCTGCGGGCCGAGAGAGGCCTGTCCAGTCCTGACTCTGTCCCTTATCTGCACAGTGCAGGCACGTAGTAGGCCCTCAGGAAATGTTCGCTGGATAGAGGGTTGGAAGGATGCAAGGAGGGATGGAGGGATGAATGGATGGAGGGATGGAGGGATGGGTGGGTGGATGGATGAATGGATGGATGGGTAGGAGGGAGGGTAGCTGGACAGATGACAGATGGACGGACAGACAGGAGGCCACAGCCTCCTCGGACTTCTTGGTCCACACAGGGACACAGGGTGGCAGGGGCCGGGAGACCTGGAGCTGCCTTGCCGTGAACTGGCTGGTGGTTTTAGCTGCCCCTTCCTGGACCTCAGTCCGTTCTACAATGACGGGGTGGGCCAGACCAGCGGCACCTGGACCAGTCACGGCCCTGGATGACGGCTGCTCCATTCAGGGAAAAAGTGAGAGAAAATGCGGCTCTCTTACACACCCAGGGTCACACTCGAGACCCTGCAGGCTCTGCGGCCAGCCCTGCCGTGACCCCAGCTGTGGGGCGACTCCGGGCAAATGACTTCGGCCCTCCAGGCCTCTGTTATCTCCTACGTGGGCAACTGCGGCAGCCCCTCGTGGGTCCTCCTGCTTCTCTCTCATTGCCACACAGCTGCTCTGTGGCCTAGTCCCCCTTCAGGAGCCAAAGGGCACTTTGGCTTTATTTTAAATTCTTAGTTACTGATGAGAGAGAGAGAGAGAGAGAGAGAGAGAGAGAAACTGCTTTGCTGCTCTGCCTCTTTATGCGTCCATTGGTCGTTTTTTGTATGTGCCCTGACAGGGAATCGAACCCACAACCTTGGCGTGTTGGGATGATGCTCCAACCAACTGGGCTACCTGGCCAGGGCTCAAAGAGCGCTTTTAAAGCTCTAAGTCCAATCGTGTCCAGCCCCTGCTTAAACCCCCAGTGCCACTCATTTTACTTAGAACAAATCCCAAGGCCAACAAGGTCCCCCCTTTTTCGGTCTCTGTCTCCTTTACAACTCACAGGCTGACCCAGGGAAATACTCGGGGTCCCAGAGGCAAAAATGTCACCTTGCGGTCTTTGCTTTCAGGGTCCCCAACGGCTTCGCCCCTCACATAAAGTCCTCCTGGTTCCCCAGCCACTGTGCATGGCTGAGCCGGGCCCAGTGTGCGGGGCTCCCCTCTGGCGCACGGGGGCCGCCCGGGCTCACCTGAACAGGAAGCTGTAGGAGAAATCGAGGAGACCCATCTCGTGCCAGCCACCGCCCGCCTCTGCGGCGTCGCCCAGCAGCATGGTGTGGAGGTTGGTGTACATGGCCTCCGTGAGCGCCTGCAGGTCTCTGTGCAGGAGGGTCCTGGGGCAGGGGACAAAGAAACGAGAGAGCAGCTTCCGAAGGGTGACATCCACGTACAGGTGCCCCCCACCCCAAACCTCAGGGTGCTGCGGCGCCAGTTCCTCGTTGGCAGCGGGGGGCCTTTGGAAGACTGGCTCTAACCAGCTGGTCTCACTGCTGTCATCATCAACGACAACGACAACCGATACTATTTATCGTGCGAAGCACAATGACCTCGCTTCATTTTTTGGCAACTCTAATCGTTAACAGTTACCATTACAGTACCCATTTTACAGATAGACAAACTCGGGGACACAGAGGGAAGTGACCTGCCCAAGGTCACCCGACCAATAGGTGACACAACTGTGACTGGAACCTTGATCTGCCCACCCCCCGAGTCTGAACTCTTTTTTTTTTTAAGATTGTATTTTTTTATTTTTAGAGAGAGGATAAGGGAGGGAGAAAGAGAGGGAGAGAACATTGACTGGTTGCCTCTCACGAGCCCTCGGCCTGGGACCTGGCCCGCAGACCAGGCTTGTGCCCTGACCTGGAACTGAACCTGTGACCTTTCTGTTTACAGGCCAGCGCCCCACCCACTGAGCTACACCAGCCGGGGCCAGAGTCTGGAATCTTCTCCACGATAGTCTATCTCTCCTCAGGGCACACAAGCTTGGATGAGGAGCCCACTAGTCTGAATAAACCCCTAGTTTCTTGGATACATCAAGAGTGGGAAACTTCCAGAGGGGTTCCGTGAACTTGCAGGTGATAAAACCTTTTGCACGTTCAAGTCGGAACACTGTCAGAAAGCAGCAGACACGACCCACGTGCAATACAGTATTTAAAGGGCATAAGAGAGCCTGGCCCATTGTGATTGCTCCATAAACGGGAGGTTGTGATTGACCTTGACCTTGACCTTGTTTTCCCGACCCCACTCCAGGCACTAGTTCTCAACAGGGACAGCGGATGTGGCAGCCATGCCCAGAAGACATCATGCCAACTTGGAAGAAACTTCCAGAAACTCTTAGGGGCAGACACTGGAGGAAACCAGGGTCCTCCCCGGGCAGTGGAGCAGGATGCAGTGAACTGTGGATTCCTGTTGCTGATGAGCCCTCATGATCCCCCTGGAACGGCGGGACCCAGGACACTCAGGCTCAGAAACGCTCCTAGCAGCGGTCCCGCAAAGCCAAGGTCAGACAGGGCACTGCGCTCATCAGTGTGCACCTCACAGTGTGGGCCTCTCCTCAGTTCAGCAGTCCTGCAAACCCCAGCCTTCCAGGCGCCTGCCCTAACTCGAGGAGGCTCCCCTTCCCGGGGACAGAGCAGCAAAGATTAACCCCAGACCTTGCAGCCCTTAGGGGTGGATGCAGAGTCTCATGTCCTCAGTATCTCGGGTGGAGAAGAATGCACTGTGGAGTCTGCAGACTTGAGTTCAAATCCCAGCTCTGCCGCTTATTAGTGGTAGACCTTGGGCAAGTCACTTCACATCTCTGAGCCTCAGTTTCCTCATCTATAAGATGAGAATAAAAATACCTACCCCTTGAGGCAATTGCACAAATATGAGGGGGAGCCTATCGAACACCTGGCATGGGGAGGTGTCCTCAGAGGGTGGCTGGCATCCCTCCGCACCCCCGGCATCCAGGCTGGTGAGCAGGGGACAGCGGGGCCCCAGATGTTCGCCGACTGAATACAGAGTTAATGTCATGTGGTTGACGTAAGACTCCCTTATGTTCTAGGACATGCACCCCTTCCTAGCTGCACGACCCAGAGCAAGTCACCTCTCTGAGCCCCAGTGTCCTCATCTATAAAATGGGGCTGTAAGTCACCCTCTAGCAATGCCCTGAGGACTAAAGCAGTCCTGCGTGATGCCTGGCACAGAGCATAGACTGGAAAATATCAGCCACCCCGCCCTCCTCCCTTCATTTTACGGAAGTGGAAACAGGCTTGGGTGTGGGGGAGCGGGGAGCTGCTCCAAGGTCACAAGGCTAGGAAGGGGTGGAGCTGGGATTCGAACCTAGGTCTGGCTGACCCACACCCTGGTCTCCTTCTCCTCAAATCAGAGCTGCCTGCCTCGAAGAAAAGAGTCCTTCCTCGGCCCAAATATTTTGGGTTGTTCTCCCTTTGTTTTTGTTTGTTTCCTTGACACAAAATGCCCTTACCGGACACCTGTTGAGACAAGCGCGACGGGAACCAGCAGGGGGAAGCGGATCACCCACCCTGGCCCCACCCCGCAGGTACTGCGCACAGCCACTCACGGTTTCATCTTGGCCTTTTCGTCGCTGGGGTTGTAATTCGGAACCTGCACGTCGAAAATCCTCTCCATGAGGAAGACAGCGTAGGCGTGGAAGTCCAGCTTCGAGCGAGGCTCCCACACCACGGAGTCGTAGGAGTGCGGGTCCAGGAGGACGGTGATGTACCTGCCACCCACCAGCACCTGGGGAGTGGGCGGGTTGGCGTGAGGCGGGCTGCCCGGAGCAGCAGCGGCTGTCCATGGTGGAGGGCTCACCCTGTGCCAAGCACCAGCCCCTTCGGGCACCTAATAGACGGTGGTCTTTCATCGGCCCCTCATGACCCCCCTGTGAGGTAGGGACCGTCATTCCCCCATTCACAGCTGGAAAGTCAGGTTTTGAGGAAGCACGCAAGGGGCCCAAGTTGGCACAGCCGAGAAGCGGCAGAGCTGGCCCTGAAATTCTGCACTTCTTTCAACCAAAGGTGGTGCTCTTAACCACCTCGGCCTTAGGCACCTGCCGTGGTTATCTGGGTCACTGTCACACCTCCAGCAGCTGGGAGGGAGTCTGCCCGCGGGAGGCAGCAGATGGGTACATGCGCATCACAGGTGGACGGACAGACGGACGGATGGACAGAAGGACATTGGTGGATCAGTGCTAGTGGGCAGATTATAAATGGGTGGATGAATCGATAGATGTTCGGATACATGGCTGGAGGGAAAGACAGACGGACAGGTGATACTCTAGGGTAAATGCAAGTGGATGTGCAAGACCCACTTCTTTGGGGGGCTGAGCTCTGCACGCAGCTCGCTGCCCCAGAAGGGAAGGAAACAGCAGCACTGGGAGCTGCAGCCCTGTGGACAACAGGGGGAAGGGGCTTTCTCCTCGGCTGTCTGTGCAGGGGTCACCCCGAGGTCCGTGAGTCACGTTCATCAACCGCCTTGCAAGACACAGGCCGGTATCTGAGGGAAAATGCTACTGGAGGGATCCTTGGACGGAGGGATCAGTGGTGGGACAGATCACCGAGTGTATGTTGCACAGAAAGATGGACGCACAGGCAGCTAGAGGTTGGCTGGAAGCTGAATGTATGGATGAGTGTTGGGCACAGGGACGGCAGGATGCTACGTGGATTTGGGGTAAATGGACTGAGGGACGAATGTTGGATGAATACAGGCTGGAGGATCCCCGGGAGGTGGGTCCAGGGTGGGTGGCGGTTGTTCGGATGTTAAAGGGGTGGATAGGCGGAGATATAAATAGATGGACATGGAATGGATGGGGAGCTGAATGTTGGGCGAATAGCGGACGGACGGAAACATGGGTAGATGAGTGGGAGAATGGAATGAAGGGGTAACTGACTGTAGAGATGAAGGCTGGGTGGGTGTTAGGCGCGTGAGCGGGACAGCACGGAGTAAGTCTGGGCGGACCTATGGAAGAACACGCGATGGGTGCCTGGAGGGCAGACGAATGCCGGAGAGACACACAGAAACACGGGCGGGTGAGCAGCGAGAGGGAGGTTTAGTGGGCATGGAATACTCGAGTGAGTGCTGGGAGGCTATCGGGGAGCCGGGGCGCTGCCTCGGTGGGCAGAAGGACAGATGTGACAGGAGGGGTGGGTGCTGGGGAGACGGGAGTCGAACGGAAGGCTGGAAGTTGGTTAGATGGGTATCCCAGGACTGGAGAGATGCTGAGTGACTGCACAGCTCGATGGTGGGAGGGTGCTAGAGGGACGACGAAGGGAAGGGTGTTAGGCACTCGTGGGATGCACAGTTGCACAGACGCAGATAGAGCGTGAGCAGGACCACTGGGCCGATGTGGAATGAGTGCGCTAGCGTGTGCACGGGCACCGGAGGAATCAGCAGACATCAGGTATGACAGCCCCGGCTGCCCATCCCCTTCCCTCCCAAGAGGCACCGGAGGTACTTACAGTGAAGATATCACCATGCTTCTCCTTCATCCTCGTGAGGAAGCTGGCAGCGTCCTTTCCAAACTCCAAGGCATAGCCCAGCCAGGGGATGCTGCCCAGGTCCAGGGGAGGCTCTCCGGGTCGCCTGCAGGAGCCACAGCGCTGATCACCGTTTGATAAAGCAGGGGAGCGGATAAAGTGTGTAGGGCGTGGGGCGCGTCTTCAAATGGGGAGGGGGGGCAGGCCTCCCCGAAGGTGGCGGGAGAGGGAGCCACGTGGATACCTGGAGGAAGAGCCTCCCGGCAGAAAGAACAGGTGCAAAGGCCCTGTGGTTGGACCACGCCTGGCGTGTTCAAATGGCAGTACAGAGGCCAGTGTGGCTAGACTGGAGGGAGCAGGAAAAGCAGCGGAGGTCGAGGCCAGAGTGGTAAGGAGGCCCAGGCCTGTGAGGGCTTCCGCTTCATCTCACGGGGGTGGGAGCCATGGAAGCCTGGAGAAGAGCAGGGACGTGATCTGGTTCTGTTTTTGTTGTTTTATTTTTTAACAGATCCTGTTGGTTGCTGAGCAGAGAATGGACTTCAAGGGCCTGAGAGCCGAAGCTGGGGAACTGGTTGACAGAGGTGGTCATCTCTCTAAGCGGGGGAGAGCTTTACAGGACCCCGTAGCATAAAGATACAGCGTTGCCTGGTTGAGCCAGCACGGCGCAGGGTCTGGGAGAGCAGAGCAACTCCTCTGAGAGTCTAACTACAATATATAGAGCTCCCTGTGATGGACAGAACTCTGAGACGGCCCACGCCTTCGTACAGCCCCCTCCCACAGGGTGCGGGGTCGACCGTGCGGCTGACGTTATGGCAGAATACTCCTCCTCAGTGGGCCCGGCCTGATCAGGTGGACGCAGGGCTTGCAAGGGACAAAGCTGTTCCTGGCGAAAGACTCAGCATGAGACACAGCACCAGGGGGAGTCTCTGTCGCTGGCTTTGACCGTGGCAGGGGCCACAAGGCAGGGAATGCCGGTGGCGTCTAGGGGCTATGAGTGGCTCTTGTCTGACAGCAGATGGGGACCTCAGTCCCACAACCGCAAGGAACTGAACTCAGCCAGACTCTCCACCGGAGGTAGCCTCGCCTGCCTCCTGCCTTCAGCCGTGGAAGACGCTGAACAGAGAACCCAGCCCCACCCTGCCTGACCTCCGACCTGCCAGACTGCGGGCGGATGCACGGCGCTGCTGGAAGCTGCTAAGTGTGTGGCCATCGGGTTACACAGCAAGGGGCCATTGATTCCCTCAGACTTACGCGGCTCTTGCTTGGGGCCCTGCCCTTGAGCAAGCACTTAGTGGGTATGAGGGGGTATATGAACCCCATCTTGTCCTCCCCCCACCCTTTGAGAGGCAGCTAAGGGGAGGTGCCTCAGGCTCACAGAGGAGCCTCACGATATTGCAGGGCTGGCGCTCACAGCGGGCCCCTTGGGGGCCCCTAAACCCAGGCCGGGACCCGTGCTGCCGTGTCGGAGCCCTGAGAACCCCAGGGAGGCAGAAAGCTCCCCGCCCACTGAGCAGGTGAGGGAATCGTCCCAGCTCTTCTCCTCACTGTGGGTTCACTCACTCCTTCGCCCAACGGTGACGGCGAGGCTGGAGGCACAGCAGCAACCCGGACACACCCGGCCCCTGACCCCACTGGGTGCACGGAGAGAGGCAAAAACACGAAAAAGCAAACTCGCTCCAGACAGTGAGGAGTGTGATAAACACAGTGCAGGAGATGCGACTTAACGACGAAAAGAAAAAAAAAAAACCCGACTTAAAAATACACGAGGGATTCGCACGGACGGTTCTCCAAAGAAGACACACGAATGGCCAGTAAACACATAAAAATATGTTCAGCATCATCAGTCACTGGGGAAATGCAAACCAAACCACCAGGTGGTACCACTTCACACCCATGAAGACAAACATCATAAAATAAAATAAAATAACTTTTTAAAAAGGAAAGTACTGGCAAGGATGTGCAGAGACTGAAATACTCATCTGTTTCTGGTAGGAGTGTAAGATGGGGCTGCTGCTTTGGAACCCGGCCGGGCCGCTCCTTGACAGGTTACACAGTTCGTGTGCGACCCGGCGCTACAGCCCCAGAGAACTGAAAACGTATGTTCACACACAGGCTTGCACGCTGTTGTTCACAGGAGCCTTGTTCCCAAGAGCCAAACGGTGCGCAGCCAGCCCAGATGCCCGATGTCTGCTGAGGGGGTAGACCACACGGGGCCCACTCTTGCCTGGGGACGTCATTCAGCCACAAAACCAGAGACGCGCTAAATCACACCACGGTGTGGGAGGACCTCGCGGCCACGGTGCTGAGTGACAGAAGCCAGGCACCAAGGGCCACGTGTTGTGTGGCTCTGCTTCTACAGAAGGTCCAGACAAGGCGAATCGACAGACAGAAAGCAGGGGAGTGGTTCCCAAGGGCTGAGGGGCGAGGGATGATGGGTGACTCCCCACGGGCATCGCGTTTCCGGAGTTAAATATGAAAACGTTTCATATAAACAAAGAAAATATTCTGGAGTTAAATAGTGGTGATAGTTGCATAAGCCCGTGAAGACACTAAAAACCACTGAATTGTATACTTTAAAAGGATGAATTTTATACTGTGTGTATTATATCTCATTAAAGAAAATAAGGCCCTGGCTGGTGTGGTCCAGTGGATTGAGCGCCGGCCTGCGAACCGATAGGTCACCAGTTTGATTCCCAGTCAAGGCAAGTGCTTAGGTTGTGGGCCAAGTCCCCCGGTTGGGGGCATGGATATCTCTCACACATGAATGTTTCTCTCCCTCTTTTTTTCCCTCCCTTTCCTCCTCTCTAAAGGTAAAAATCTTTTTTTAAAAAGAAAAGAAAAAAGGGTGATACAAGGTAGTGAGGGCTGGTTCAGAGAAGGTGGTGAGGCCGGCCTCTCCCAGGAGGTGCCGTGTGAGCCAAGACCCCAGGGTGAGGAGGAAGTACAATGGAAGAGCAGAGGGAAAAGCATCGCAGGCAGAGGGAACAGCAAGTGCAAAGGCCCTGGTGTTGGGGTCCGCCCTGCCTGGTCTCAGGAAGCTGTAACCCCCCGTGGCTAAGGCTGGGTGAGAGACCTCCGAACCAGGAGACACTAGGGAGATAAAACTTATTTCCCTGGCATGAACGCTGCCTGTTCTGTGCCGGCCCCCAATGCTTGACCAGTTAGCCAATGACGGGTAAGATTCCCCAAGGGTGGAATCATCTAAGACAGGCACAATCACGTGGAGGCCCCAGGGAAGAGACTCAGGGGGCTGTGGAAATGAGGGCTGCCCCCTGACAAAGCCTGAGTCCTTGTTCTGGCTGTGAGAAATCCAAGTCTCCCGGCTGCCTTTATCTCCTCTGCCCGACTCAGGCCTGCGGAAATAACAGGAGCGGTGCAGCCCACACCAGAGTCAGTGGACACCCGGGGTAATTAGATCTGGGGCATAGAACATGCAAGATCCTGTGAGACCTGCTTGCTGGAGGATGCTCTTGAATTAGAATATGAAGTCACGGGCAGGAAACGAAACTAGCTTTTTAGGTCCTGTAGCCTTTTAAGTGATAAAACCCCAAAATCTCAGCGTGAGCTCTGTCAGCCCTTTGAAAGTTATCTATTCCTTTTGATCTTCCCAGGCTAGACTGTAACCAGCAAACTGCATCTGAATTCTTAATAAAAGCCTGCTCGGGCGGGAAGACGGGGCACTCCCCTCTTGAGAGAGTGGCCATGCGGTCCCTAGTTTCCCACAGGCCTCGGCAGTCTGTGTGTACGCTTTCTCGTGTCTCGAGCATCTGCAGTGTTCACGGTCCCTGCAGACCAGTGGCTGCCTCACCCTGGGGTGGGAACGCGCTTGGTGAGGTTTTCACGACCGCAGAAGCCGATGTGGCTGGAGTGGAGAATTGGGGGGTGGGGGCCGTTGAGAGGTAGGAGACGATGCTGGCGGTGACCTGGGGACCACGAGGACCCAAAAGCCAAGGAGAGAGTCTAGCTTGTATGTCCAGTGCCATGGGGATCCTCTGGAGGGTTGGAAGCGGGAACTGGGAAGTCACGTGCTTTTAAAAGGTTGCAACTGTGAGAGAGGCAGCAGGGAGAGGTGTCAGGAGGCCACTGTGACCGCCTGGAGAGCGATGACAGGGGGAGTGCAGGCCACGGTCCCGGGGAGGCCAGCCCGAGCATCCGCCCTCCCCACCCCGCTTCCAGGACTGGGGGCTTTTGGGCTCCCCCAGCCATCGGGGGAGCACCCACTTGTCTTCCCCCTTCTTTCTCTCCCTCTCACCTTCCATCATCGTGGCCTCCTGGCCCCTCCGCCTGGCTGTCCCCCAGTGTAACCCAAAGCGTGGGACAGGTGGTGCCTGGAGAGACTGGTCAGACTGGCAGAGCCGGAGTTTGGGGATTACGGGATCAGAGTCACAGAGGCCCGAGGGCCCGGGAAGTGCCTCCCGCCGCCACCCCCTCCTCTCTCCCTGGCTCCCACGCTGCCTCTGAGCCCATACCGAGGGAACTTGCAAAGTCATGGGTCTGAGGTCCTCAGGGGGTGCCAGGGACCTACCAGGACGTTCTCTTTCCCCTTGTCTCTTGGTGAGCCCCTGGGTCAAGGCCACTTCTCAGAAGGCTCCACTGAGAGGTGGGGTTGCATGCTGGCAGAGCCCGGGTCGGAGTAGCCCATTAGCCCGACATGCACCGGCCCAGGGACACCGGGCAGGGCAGCCGCGTGTCTGGCAGGAGGGCGTGGGGGTTACGAGCCCGACATCAGCACCACACTTTCTGGCTTCACATCCCAGCCACACACTTGCTGGCTGTGTGGCTCTGCTTCTCCATGCCTCGGTCGCCTCCTCTGCAATACAGGGTTGGCCACACGGCTGACCGAGTCAGGCTGGGGTGCAGATCACGGGGGTTATAGGCGGAACGGCAAATGCCCGGTATCTCGTCGCTGGGGACCAGCTGGGGGCCTGAGGAGCCGGACCCATAGAATCCCGGGCGCCGCTTATGGAGGAAAAACAATTGTGGGGTGCTGTGCGTTTTCCCACAGGTGTCCTCGCTTGGTAATAATGGCCAACACTTCGTGAGCCCTGGCTGTGCCACCCTATGAGGAGGGAATTGTTACTATCAAGCCCATTTTACAGCAGGTGA